GCAGTAAAATCCAAGAACACCGAGTAGATGTTGCATGTTTGATTTATTGTGATTTAATACAATTTGACTAAACAGTTGAATAGTAGGAAAATTATGTACCTAGAGGTGAAAACTGTTTTAGAACATGGGAGTTAATCAAATGATAATATAAACTAAGCTTACAAGAAGGGTTTGAATTTTCATTCTCTAACAAACTCTTTCAGTATGGATTTCCAGTGTTTAATTTACTGTTGGTGGTAGTAGTGGCAGGAGGAGGTGGCTCGCCTACTGAGAAGAAAGGAGTTCGGTCTATTTTTTTGTATACCTGGTTAGATGTCAAAATGGAGCAAAGATTCACAGCTGAGGAGCCTACCGAATCTTCCTTCAGAGGGGATGGAGCTTTAGGAGAGGTAGTGTTAGCAGAGTACTTCCATCAGCATGACCACACAAACATGGCATCCAACATTTCATGGATGAAAGCTAGAACACATATAGCCAGGCAACAAATGAAAAATACCACACAAGCTGAGAGAAGCTGCAGCAGTTTGCATTTGCCTAAGCCAAGTGGGAAGAACAATTTTGCTGCCTCTTCTGCTCTCCAATGCAACTCAATGCTATACCAGGACCGGGAGTGAGATGTTTCAAAGGGCCCTTCCACACAGCCATATAACCATGGCAGAAAATCCCACAATATCTGCTTTAAACTGAGTTATCTGAGTCCACACTTCCATATATTCAGGTTCAAATCAGAAAATGTAGGATTTTCTTCAACCAAAGGCACTCAGTTATACCTTCAGTTTCACATCACTGGGCTGGTCAGGAACATATTCCTCACAGATAAAGAGGTCTTACCATTTGTATGTGTCTCCCTTTTTGTTCTAATAATCTTATTCAAGAAGGTAATTTTTGTATATGTGGGTGACTTTGATGCTATTATTATATTGTGGAAATTTTCCAATAGTATTCATTACAACCCACTAAAACGATGAATTCTACATCATAGACATAATGAGCTCATAACATTTTAGGCCCTGGGAAACCAGGCACAACCTAAAGGAAGATTGTGGAAAAATTCTAGTTCAAACTTGGTTTAATTTTTATTGGAATGAATGTGGAAATTACATGATGTGATTAAGAGAAGGAGAAACAACCAGTTCAGACCCTGAGTCTATCTTTTATAAGGTTGTCCTCAGGCTCGTCGCTTCTTCACAACCTAATCTGTGTCATAATTGTGAAGATAAAGAAAGCAATGGGGTTACCATAGCTATACTAATATAACTGTATAATAACCTTTTAGGAGTCTATAGGCTAGGATAAGAAAGTAAATCAAATGGAAGAAAATTTTGTCTCAAGTGTCTTTTGTCCTTGGCAAAGGGATAGGAAAGCATTTTTGAAATCTGTATAGAAGCCTGTTTGTTTTGTATCTCTGGATCTCTGCTGCATAGAGACAGATAATCATTTAGTCATGCCCAATGAGCTGCTATTTGTCTTGGCTTCACTGTGGCCTTCTGATGATGCCAGATGGTTGCAACCAGTTTGTGGAACCACTATGCATTACAGAAACCTAGAGTCAATTTGCAAGCGAGTTGACTAATATTTTCCTTTATTCTTGATTTTGTTAGAGAGTATGTACTGCAATTTTGGATGGGAGCCAAAAAGCCGTTGGACTATTGGTTTGTTTTGAAAAAATCTGGAACAATATAAACAGCAACCATCCTGTTACACACTTAAGATTTGTTGACATCACTTTCCATCATGCTGATATAGCAGCTCTTTTTAACTAGAGCTGGAGTATTCTGGTTGCTCGAAAGAAAACATTTCAAAAAGGCATCTAAACTTGCTGAGGCAGGTTGGCTTTTCAAAGAAAAGCAGGGTGTTGAAAAAATAAAATCCACGAGGACTGTCACATTACATAGTGTGTGTGTTACTGTTAAGCTAGATAGACACATCTTGATTAAAAGAACAGGGAAAGGGACATCTATGCTTGATTTAAATGATGTGGTGGTGAAGGGTGTCAAAGGCAAGATAATTTGCTGTGCAAATGAGTTTTTCAAGAAAAACAAAGAAACAAGCTATGGCCAATATAGTTGTTGCTGCTCAAGTCATTTCCAATTTATGGTGACTGTAGGGCTAACTTATCACAAGCTTTCCTCTGAGGCTAAGAGAATGTGACTTGTCCAAGGTTACTCTGTGGAACTCAATGGGTGAGCAGGGATTTGAACCCATCAATCCAGAGTCATAGGCCAATGCTCATACTACCCCACCCCACCGGCCCCCAAGGAAATGTAGTACAGGATTTAAATGAACAAAGCTAGGCCTTAAATCTTTGAAGATGGAGATTGCCAGCCAACATAGTCTACTTTTAAGTGTTAAACTGGGCTCTGGGGATACCAGGATTTAAATCCTGATTCAGCAGTGGAAACCTCCTGGGTGGCCTTAGGTGCTGTAGACTCCGGTATAAGCCGACCTGAATATAAGCCAAGGCACCTAATTTTCCCACAAAAAAAGGGAAAATGGAATGATGCGAGTATAAGCCGAGGGTGGGAAACGCAGCAGCTACTGCTAAATTTCAAAATCAAAATAGATACCAATAAAATTACATTAATTGAGGCATCAGTAGGTTAAATGTTTTTTGAATATTACATAAACTGTAGTTTAAGATAAGACTGCCCAACTCTGATTAAACCATTATTCTAACCTTTTTCAATGTAAATCTGCTTACATATCCTTCCAATAATAATAACAAGAGAAAATTATAAATGTAATAATAATAATAATCACAATGTTAATAATAATAATAATACATCACACAGTCATAGACACTTGGGAAGTGTTCGACTTGTGATTTTGTGATACAAAATCCATCATATATATCTCATTTGCTGTGACATACTGTGTTTTTGTGTCAGTAAAATAATAATAATAATAATAATAGAGTAAAATAATAAAAATGTAATAATAACAGTAATAATAGAGTAAAATGATAAATGTAGTAATAATGATAAATAAATTAAAATAATAAATGTAACAACAACAATAATAGCAACAGAATAAAATAATAAATAACATTGACTCGAGTATAAGCCAAGGGGGACTTTTTCAGCCTTAAAAAAAGGGATGAAAAACTAGGCTTATACTCAAGTATATACAGTAAGTCATGCATTCCCATCCTCAGAGGAAGGCAGTAGCAAATCACTTCTGGACAAAACTTGCCTCAGGATTTCCTCTGAGTCACCATAAATCAGAAAAGACATGAGAGCACACAACAATAATATGTCTACAAACAGCAATATGTGTGCCTATCTCTGCAGAACCTGCAGAGATACTCCACATGATTAGGAGCCCTGTATACTAGAGGGCCCCGAGTTCATGCAGCATTTACACATGCTCAGTTACTCATGAGTAGACAGTCCACGGCAACACGTGATAAGGAGATGAAGCTTGTAGAGCACCCATCTTTTGGGTGGATCTTTCAGTTCTAAAAAGAGATAATGCATCAAATATGCCTGCTTGTCACTCAAGACAATCCATAGCATTTTAATATTTTTTCCTGTGAAAGAGGTTTTGTAATGTTGAAGAAGACCTTGAACTTTAAATTTAATTCAAAAGTTGTTCATAATTTGTTTGGCAGTAGGTAGGACCAAGGGGGAGAATCCAGGTTTGAATCAACAATTAGCCCACATTCAGTGAAGTTGGGCATGAAGCCAGGAGATCATAATTCAGGCATAAGCAAATATAGCGAACATCTGAGTTTGTAAGCAAGAAAAATGGAGCAAGATTATCCTACCATACATGTAAATACTTTATGCCCATTTCTGTGGACGTGCAAATCATTTCAGGCAATTGTCTTGCACCTGCAGTTATATTTGCCTAGGAGTGAGAGCACTGAGACAGTGAAATTATTTGTTTGAGCTGCGAGTTGGGGACTTTAAGATAACCTGAAATCCAGAGACCAGAAACTCCAAAAGTAAACTGTGTGCCCACAAAAATGATGGTAAGATTCCACTATTTGTGGCCCACACTCAATATTGTATTCTGAAAATATCAGAGTAATCAAGGAAGAATCAAAACTACATAACATAATATTTGATATCATTTTGATTTTTAATAGATGAAAGAAATCATGTAAACAACAGTTTCCATCAGGAATGTAATTAGATGTGCTGAATCTTATTTTCACTGGTTTGTACCTAGATAAACATTTTCCCCAACCAAACACATCCATGGAATGAGGAGGGAACTTAACTGTAGCCCTTTGCCTGCCTGTAAAAGCCTTTGCCTTGTAGCTCTTTGCCTGTTCAGGGGACCCTCTGAAATCAATTTTAGGGGAAAGGGAGAGGAGAATAAAGATCTACTATGCAAGCAGAAGTCTGCTCTCACATCATTGGATTTCAACCAGTGTAATCATATGAATCTGCAATGAAAATGTTCCTGTCAACAGCCATTACTTTGGAATGATAGAAAATTGTATAATTCTCTATCATCTAGTCAGAACCATTGAAATTGTCCAATGTGTGGCTGAAATTGTGATCTCTTTGCTTTCTGATGGTTCAGTGTGTACAAATTTTGTTTCATGCACAAAATGTTTTTAAAATATTGCCTAAAATGACCTTCAGGCTATGTGTACAACTTGTGTTTAGAGTTGCATCCCATTGCCAAGACACCTCATTATTTACCTATTTATATGCCAATGCAGATATTCCAAAATCCAAAACAATGCTGGTCCCAAGCATTTTGAATAAGAGGATTCAACCTGTATACTCTCACCATACAGTTGTAGAGTTTCACTTTTTATGACATCAGAGAAAAGGACAAACCCAAATTGTCACTGTACTCTCTCACAAAACAAAGACGAAGTACTTTTTCTTACATTCCTCAACTTAAGTAGGCCTAGGAGTGGCACTATTTCCTGCTGTACCTGTTATGCTAACTACAGTTTTCTTAGTCAAAGCCAGAAAAGGACCTTTCACTATTTTTGTCCCAGTGTTCCAATAGTAATAATAGTAATAATAAATGCATACCTGAACATACAGCCAGCTCTGACAATCTGAGACAGAAAGAGGAATTTGACTGTTGTAGAAGCTTTAGGCAAATTTGTTTTGGCATGCCTGAATGTTTTTTCCTACTGCAAACAGATGGACAGTTGTAGAAATGCCAAGTGGGTGTGTCTATTAGTGTGTGTCAAATTGGAAAGGTGAAATAGCATGCATAGACATTTCAGTGCAGGTATGCACTGAAATGTTTTCACTGAATACATTGACATTGCATTTTTCTCTCAATTTTGGATCAAAAAGATGAACATTAATGACAACATAACATACAAATATCATTTAATAAACAAATACTTGAACACAATAGCTGAAAAGTAGCATAATCTCCAAGGTGTATGTAACAAAATGATTAAACCCATTTTATGAAAGCCAGAAAGACTCTGATTCAAGGAAGTAGAAGATTCCATCTGAAAATTGTAATAATACCATTGATGGGATTATGATTCCCAAAACCCTTCCTGTCTATGAGTTTTCAGATTGTTGTAATTGCAAAGAGTATTTTAAGTCCCGTGTTCCAAATATGTGAGTATGTGATGTTCTGTCATATCCCAGTATCCTGCTTAGCACTGCCGTTTTTAATATGGGCGCCTTGAATTTAGGTGTCAGAAGCAAACTGGCATCTGGTATAACTCTTGCTGCGCTGATCTTGTAAAATGTATTTTGACAACAATAACACAAACATGCAGATAAAATGACCTTTAAAACAACCAACATTCTAAAATCAATACACATGACAATTTGGTCTTATAATTTTGTTTTAATCCTGCCTTTCTTCCAATATGTGTGGCTAGCAATATTATACAAAATTCAATACAAAAATACAAAGACTATTGGCTACAAGAATTAAAGCAACTAGGATTGGATTAAAAACTTGCAGTGTTTGAATTTTTTATTTTGTATCAAAAGCATTGCATAAATTAGCATAAAACTGACAAAAATAGGAGGTGTGCAGGTGGCTAAATATCTTTCAACCAAAAACGGGCATCAACAATGGCATTGTCTGTAGCCTCCAACAATTCCTCCTCTGTACATGAGGCAGGGCACAATGGACAAGAATACAGATGCAGAGTTGTCTGTTCTGCTCCGCAGTCACACAAGGTATGGGATTCTTTTAGGGAGTGCCATTTTGCCAGGATGTCTTTTGATCTGCCTACTCCGCTTCTGAGTCTATTCAGGGACTTCCAGGTTGCCCATTCTTGGTTTGCCCCTGGAGGAAGACCCTTGCAGGAGGACATCCAGTTGAGATTTTCTGATTTAGCTGCCCAGAGGGATACCCTTGCTGTTGCTGGAGGGACACCAAGAGGAGTGGTAGTTCTCATAAAGCTTTTCCTTAATTTGAGTCTACTGGGAGGAGGCTGGTAGCCATGTAGTGGGTGGCTTTCACAGTGTTCAAGCTTATTTCTCTCACATTTAGCAGCAACTTCCCATCGCACATCAGGGGGGCAATGCCAGCTAGCTTGTAGAGTTTATCAACAGGTGTAGGTTTAAGACACCCTGAGATTACTCTGCATGTTTCATTTAATGCTATGTTCACCTGCTTTGCATGGGCAGACCTATGCCAAAAAAGACAGGCATACTCAGCAGTTGAGTAAGACAAAGCTAGGGCTGATGTTCTTAGTTTCAGGGCAGGAAAAGTAGATGGAGGAGGCAAAAGAATGGTTTACCCCAAGGCAGCGTTCTTGCACTAACCTTGTTTAATATCTTTACAAACCATCAGCCACAACCACCACTCACAAAGAGCTTTATATATGCAGATGACCTTGGCCTAACGACACAAGAAAAAGACTTTGAAACAGTTGAAATCTAACTTACTAATGCCTTGAAAGATCTCTCCAGCTATTACAAAGATAACCACCTGAAGTCTAACCCTGCCAAAACACAAGTATGTGCTTTCCATCTACACAACCGTGAAGCCAACAGGAAATTGAAAGTCACCTGGGAAGGTCAAGAACTTGAACATTGTTTCCATCCTAAATATCTCGGTGTCACCTTACATCGAACACTAGTGTTTGAATAAAAGTCTCTAAATCATTATAAATACTAAACCTTAAACATTGGAAGAAAGAGAAAAAAATTCTAAGCATCCTTTTCTTGTTCTGTTAGACATTTTGTTCTTGCCACAATAGCAATAGCCCGCTTTTCAATCCCCCCCCCCCCAAACATATACACACTGTGTTTACTCAACTGGTGCAATCACACAGTGCTTTCCAGAGACTTTGTAAGAAAATCATGTATGCTATTTGTAGTTTCCTGGAAGACAAATGGGATTTAAAGTTAATAAACAAATGGAGAGGGGGGCATGCAAAGAGGGACCTTACTACTTTTTGCGCCAATGGTAAAAGAAACCTTCTGCTACTCCTGTTTGGTAAACACACTAAAGCATTTGAAAAATTTGCTCTAGGTTGATGTGGGAACAGGAAGAGCTTCAACATTTTCTCCTGAAATGCTTTCAATGTGTGGATTGTACAGAATAAGTTCAGGGAAAGATAAATGGAAAGGCAGAAAGCCAACATCCCTGTCAACTGGATAGGTATTTTCTATGGTTTTCTATTAAGGATACAGCCCCACAGTATCCTTTGACTTAAGTCATTACAATGTGGTGTACATAGCCCACAGCACAACAATTTAATGGTATTAGCCAATGGTGTAATGTGCATTATACATCAGTAGATAAAGTTGTTGACACTATTTACCAAAAGCTAGAAAAGGGGTAGGAAGGTAATAACAAAATATCTTCCATTTACAAAGCCTAGACTGGAAGTGAAAACTATACAAACTCATCATCCTGACTGCTGAAAATGTGTTTTCTTTTAGTTTTCTCACTTTGCTTTCACTACAGGAGTTCTCAACCTGTGAGTCCCCAGGTGTTTTGGCCTACAATTTCCAGAAATTTCAGCCAGTTTACCAGCTGTTAGGATTTCTGGGAGTTGAAGGCCAAAATATCTTGGGACCCACAGGTTGAGAACCACTGGCCTAAGTCAAGTGGGAAGTGGTGGTGTAGTGTCCTTCATCCCAACAGAATTAGCTGGGAATCCCAGATGGCCCCTTTACAACTCCAGTTTACCATCTGTTAGGATTTCTGGGAGTTGAAGGTCAAAACATCTTGGGACTCACAGGTTGAGAACCACTGGCCTAAGTCAAGTGGAAAGTGATGGTTTGGTGTCCTTTGTCTCAACAGAATTAGCTGGGGAATCCCAGGTGACCCATTTACAACTCCCAGAAATCCCAGTCAGTTTACCAGCTGTTAGGATTTCTGGTAGTTGAAGGCCAAAACATCTGAGGACCCACAGGTTGAGAACCACTGCACTAGGAGGAAAGAACGACATAGGTTTAGGCTCTTCATTTTAAGGTTTCATAGAAGAATTGATCATGCTATCCTGTCCAGTCTCAAAGAAATAGCTGGAGAGATAAGAATTGCTTTCCCACTCTACCAGGGGAACTGCTAGAGTGGGATGAAGCTGAAAGAACACTCAGACAAGTTTAACTATATTCTCAAATTTTATTTTGTCTCCATCTGCTCCTACCACGTTCTGCCATAGACCCAAACCAGACCTGCCAAATTCCCCCTTTCTCAACCTGTGACCTGTCCAATTCCATTCTGACTTTATTTGCTATCCCAGCTGGAGGAACAGGAGAGCTTGTCTGCTTAGTTTTTTTATAAGCACTGGTTGGCAAGCCCACAAATATGTTGGCCTGTAGCACTCACAGTAAACTAAGATGACGGTGTTGAGTTCTATTGCTGCCTGATGCAAGTTAGACATCCTGAATATCTGTTTGCTTTATAACTGCTATGACCCTAAAGTGTATTTACTTAAATATTTATCAGCTGCAAGGACCGCACATTCGCTGCCATTTTATTTTCTTAAGTTGAAAGAGCAGGGAAGCGGAAAAAAATTAAAATAATCTCTACTACAAATCTGAACAAACTCTGAATGTCTGAAATGGTAATGAATAATTTGCATAGCTTGAAAGGTACACAGTCAAGGTCATCAAAAGTATTTTCCTTCTAGACCTAATAAAAATACTTTGGCCAAATAGTGTATAAAGTATTGCAATGTGTAGAGTGAATACAATTAACATTCTGCAAATGGAAAGGGTGGGTCATGGGGACAGTTGTTTCCACTTTTGCTTTCTGCTGCTGAGGAATGGACAACTTTCTTTGTCTTCCCTTCTCTCCTGGGTTTATTTATAGGTGTGTCATGTCCAGGACAGGCAGCCAAAAATTGGCAAGGGTTTTGAGCAAGAGATTGAGGGGGTGGCTAATACCTCTGGAAGGGAGGCCTGATTCTTTGCAAGAATAACAAAGTCACATGGATGATGGCACACAACTACTGCTTAATCTGACCCATATGCTGTAAATATGGTGATGACTGTCATTCTGAATATATTAGATTGATTCTGACTATTCATCAGTTTGTTGGCCAACCAAGTGGTTCCTGAGCCAGTTCTATGCTGGAATCTTCAAACATAATCTAAAAATATATTCCATTAACATTCTCTCAGTCTTAAATATATATTTTTTGCATTGTGTATGTTTCTTTCTCTTTGGAGTTGCTTGTTGTGACCTTTATTTAGGCACTGTATCTTCTAAAGAAGCAGACTGTAGCATGAATACTGTTTAAAATGACAGAATTCTTCTTTAGAATGCAGCTTTAATTCATGCTCATAGTGTTGAAATAGTTCCAAAATAAATATTCATAGATATTTGAAATCCATCAGATTTTTCAGTCTTGCTACTCACATATTGAATATTAAATATGAAGTACAAAATACTAATTTGCATTCTAAATGCAAAGATTTACCCTTCAATTAAAGTGTAATTAGATTTCTTGCTCTCTTGATTAAATAGACACACATTGCATATAAAATCTCTTAAATTGTTAGTTGGAGTATATTGTCAAATGCTGTTTGCTGTTTACTAAGCATCAAATAGTGTCAGATACCAGATACCAGTGCATGTCTGTTCAGATACTGCCAAGTATAAAAAATAAACAAATAAAAACTATAAATAATTAAAACATTACAGAATATCAAAATAGACAGTATTATAAGATCAGT